TACACAAGCTCAGAAGAATGAGCCAAAACAATTGTGACATTTTATTTATCAAGAAAAATATGAATCTAGCCCACAGGGAGAAAAAAACATTAAAGTATAAAATAACCATGACAAGACGTGTAAAAGGACCTGGGTGTTGTACAAGAACACAAGTTGAATGAAGCCAACAGTTTGATGCAACTGGTAAAAAGGCAGATGCTATTTGGAGGTGTAATAGCAAGAATATTGAGTCCAGTTAATGGGAAGTAATTGTTCCAATCTACTCTGCATTTGGAGTATTGTCAATTTAGGTTTTCTTTCCTTCTTCTAATCAATTATGCCTAATTCTCATTTGCTTGGCAAGGTTTGCCATTTCCTCCTTGCTAGGGTTCAGAGAAAGCAACGGCCCATGGTTACCTAGTTGGCTTTATGCCTAAAGCAGAAGTAGAACTCCCAATTTATAGCCTGATGACTCAACCATGACATCAGATTGGCTCTCATCTTTCGGTACTGTGCTGTAAAAAAAATGAACAAATGCAGAAGACATCTATCAAAATGTTGAATGGACTGGAAACCCAATATGAAAGGAATATTTAAAAGATGGCACCCATTTAGCCTGTAGAAGTGAAGAGTAAAGAGCGAAAACCATGATGACAGTCTTGGAAATTAAAAGCCTACCGTACAGAGGATGGAGTTGATTTTTCTGTTATACAAAATGGCAGGACCAGAAACCAGTGAGTTAAAATTACAGGAAAGATGATTCCGATTTGATATTAGGAAGAATTTCCTGACAAGAAGAACTGTCAAGCAGTGGGATTGATTAACTACGTTTCTATATTGCAAAATCCACCTGAATGGATGGTCCATTATAATAATAAAATGAGGTGGGCTGCTGCAGGTTCAGATAGGTTCACCCGAACCCCTTGTTCCGATTCTGTGTGGTTTGGAGAACCAGCAAATCAGACCACCATCTGGCCCCACCCCTCCCTATTTTTCAAGCCATTTTCAGCTGGTTTTGGGGTGAAAAATGGCCTGGAAAAGGCTCAAAAAATGGCCTGAAAACAGTCCAAAATGACCTATTTTTTAAATCTGTTTTCAGGTCATTTTCAGGCTGATTTTGGCTGGAAATGGCTCCAAAATGGTCTGAAAACATCCCCCAAATTGCCATTTGGGGGGATGTTTTCAGGCCATTTTTCCAGCCAAAATTGGCCAGAAAATGGCCCTGAAAATAGCCCAAAAACAGGCTGAAAAACAGGCCAAAAAATGGGCAGAGGCGGGGCCAGCCAGTGGTGGGATTAGCCCCAACCGGCTGAATCCTACCTCTTCCATTGAGACAATGGCTGAGACGTGGGGCTGGGTGTGATGAGTGACATCACCCATCCAGTCACATGACTAACTGGCCACACCTACCCAGCCAGAGAACTAGTTGTTAAAAAATTTGCAGCCCACCACTGATGGAGAGCTATCTAACCAACATGCTTTAAGAGATCCATTATCGGCCAGGCTGGATAATATCACTTGTGAGATCTTCCAGCCCTATGAATTTATATTTTTATACCTTATACTGCTTCTCCTGCCTATACATTCTTGTCTTTTAATGGAATGAGTATCTATGTTGCTTCCTGTCAAGAGTTTCACTGATCAGATGAAATGAAAAATAGATTAAGATGATTAAGATCAAGATTAAGATTAATGATAGATAGATGAAAGATAGATGATAGATAGATAGATAGATAGATAGATAGATAGATAGATAGATAGATAGATAGATAGATGACCCATTGCATTAAAAACGAAGAATTATCAAACATGAAAAAAAAAAGATCTTGCTTCTGATTGAGATTATTGATTCTTGCAGTTCCTGATTGTATTATTTGAAGTATGAGAAACTGTTGACTTATATTGTGTTAGAGTAGTTTATATAGTCCCAGCTATGCTAACTTGTTGAGAATTTTATTTACTTATTATTTCATTTTATTTATAGAGGAAAAATTTCAATTTAATGCCCTATTTAGTAGCTATCAGATGCAACAGAGAAAAACTCCATCTAACAGATCTAACCTGAAATACTACCACTACCCAAAGTACGTAATATGGAGAGTGGACACAAATTTATACTAAATTACATTAGATTAATGTCATGAAATTACATTAAATGAAATTAAATTACAATTGTGTCACTTCCATCAATTTATGTCATTTGTATAATGACCTCATTACTCAAATGAAGTAAATTGATGCAAATGACATCATGTGTGTTATTTCTGTAAAGTCATTACATACATGACATTAATCATTAACTAAATTATGTTTTTACGATGAATGACATACTTTCAGATCTACTATATTCCGGAGTAGCAAATACCTCTTCCTCCTAATGGTCCATTAAACTAAGGTTTTACTCCAATTTCCTTTATCCTTTTTTTTTTCTTCCACTAAATCTATTAGTGTTATAACTGCTCTAGTGAACTGATCCAGATTGAATATTTAAGGCACTATGTTATCCTGTGTATAGTTTAGCCAAAAAACTTTACCAGTTAGGTATGTTCAACCCAAAAGACTAGATTAAAATAGGATTTGATAATTCAGTATTTTGGGGGGGAAATCATATATTGTTATCATAAGTTGTGTGAACAAGGCTATCATCTTAAACTGCAATGTAATAATAAATTTAAAACATCTGATGGTCCATCTATGGAAATTCTCAGTCATCCAGGTAACGATTGCCTTAAAGGTGCTTATCACATTCCGGTGTCCCGCATCAAGAAATGCTGACAACACAATCTTGCAAACGTGAACCTGGCACGGAGGGATCAACAACAAAGTAATCAAAGTCAGTGCTACCGTGGTTTAATCCTCCACCACTTAAATTGTGCTCTACCCCACCCCATGGCTCCTGCCCCTCCCACCTATTCCATGCTGCCAATATGGTCTCCACATCCCCAAAGTGTTCCAGTTGCTCCTCCTAGGTCAGCATATCCAGCTCCCTGTACTTTTGCACACTCTGACAGTCAGCTATTCTGCCGCGAGTCAGCTGGTTTCAAAGTCCAATGGCACCGTAGATGCAGCAAGTGTTCTGCAGGGTCCCCGTGACATGCCAGTGGTGTAGGCAGCCATGGCGTGGTCATGGATGGCCATGGACAGCCATGGCCATGCCCCACCTGGCAGGTCCTCCTGCACCCAAATGGCAGCCCCAGACCAGCTGGTGGACCAGGGGCTGACATGCGGCCCCCCACCAGAGGGGTGACACCTGGAAGGCAAAGGACACTATTAGATACCTCCTGGGTATCAGCCCGCCCTCTGCCCAGTTTGCCTGGGTTTTGTCGGCGAAACCGTTTCACCAACCAAGATGCTCTTACATCCTCACTCCTTACTCATGAGGCTTCTGACAGGGGCAACTTGACTATGGTTTTCTTCTTCTTCCTCAAGGGAAAAAAAAAGATGGTCCACTTACCTTTTGAAAAAGCACCTTTGAGATGATCTGCCAGTCTAACCACCTCCTCTACATGGATGATCTGAAACTGTATGGAAAAATATCATCTGAAATAGAACCAATGCTCAACATTTTCCATATATATATATATATACAGCCAAGATACTGCAATGGAGTTTTGGACTGGACAAATGTGCTACCCTCATCATCAACAGGAGGCAAATAGGGGAAGCTGAAGGAATTAAAATGTCCTATCAAAATAACATCAAGAACCTGGATGTGACAAGTGCAGGAGGTCAGAAACCAGGATACAGTTCAAAAGTATTACAAGTTTATTTCACGCTATCTATACACAAGAATCTCAATTACTAATGGTTGAGACAAATTGGTGCCAGATTAGAGTCAATGGACTTAGGTCTCTTATGAAGGTATAGAGATTCCAAACTGATGATGCATTTGACTCCACCCTCAGGCTTAGCCTAGTTGTCTCCTACAAGATGAAACTACCATTTGGTTCAACAATTGGTTCCAGTCCCAATTGGAATCTTAGTTCAGGACTACCTATGCCCAGTACAATATTCCAATTCACTGTAGTGCTTATTAACTACAGACTGGGATTACCTAAACCAGGGATGTCAAGTTGGATTTTTTCAAGGGCCACATCAGCATTGATGTTCTCCTTTATGGGCTGGCCGGGGGGGGAGGGAGATGGGATGGACATCTACTGCAGCACCCTGCTGGCTGAAAACGGGACATGGGAGGGGCTCTTGCAGCCCCCCTGTGGCCGGTTTTCAGCCTCCACAATCTCCTAAAGCACTTTGCCACCTGAAATTGGGCTGCGTGGGGGAGGGGGCTTGTGCGACCCTCTGTGGCACATTTCCACAGCCTCTACAGCAGGGGTGTCCAACCTTGGCAACTTTAAGACTTGTGGACTTCAACTCCCAGAATTCCTCAGCCAGCTTTGCCACAAAGAAGAGGGGTTCAACCAAAACACTTTACAAAACACTAGTTATATATTTGAATAGTTCGTTATTTTGGTCTCAGGGGTGCAAAAAGCCAGCAGAAAGATTGCTTTGAGTAAACTAGGAAGTAATTTCCATGAGGTCTCCTCTTTTAATTTATGATCACCATAATTCATATTCAGCCACAGCTTTTGCTACCCAAATTTATAGTTCTGCAGCCTTCTTTTGTTACAGAACCTAGGAGTGTTCCCAACCAAAATCTATGGACAAAAGATTTAAGGTACTGAATTACTTTTTTTTTTTTATTCCTGTGACGGTCAGAAAAGGTCAGAGTAACAATATTTCAAGTGGCAAAGAGTCTTTCCAATCTTGCAGTACATTTATAAGAAAAAAAAAAGTGTGGTTTATGTTGAGGGGATTTTGGCAGAAATGGATGTAACTCAGGAAAAGTACAGGTGTTTATGTGCTACAATAGAGGGAGAGGTCTCTTGAATTTCCCCACTAGGAAGGAGATCAAATGCTAAATGAAGTCAATGACAATTTTCTATTGGTTGTGGAGACCTTTAATACTGGTTGCATGGAGACAACTGGAGTGTCAATAACATTTGATTATTATTTGAAAGCACCTATATTTATATCTATAAGATAAACAACCATAAATTAAATTACATCTCAAACTTCTCAGAGATCTTAGATATGTTGACTACATCCAGTGGGTGGGATTCAAAATTTTTTACTACCAGTTATGTGGGTATGGCTTGGTCAGAGTGGCTTGACTTGGTGGGCATGGCAGGGGAAGGATACTGTAAAATCTCCATCCCCACCCTACTCCAGGGGAAGGTTGCTGCAAAATCCCCATTCCCTCCCCACCCCACTAACCTGCTTTCCAGCTCTGTTCTCCTGTGCAGAGCAACAAAAGAAGACCCAGCTGATCAGTTGGGACTCAGAAGGCAGAGAATAGATGGGGCCGGGGCCAGTCAGAGGTGGTATTTGCTGGTTCTCTGAACTATTCAAAATTTCAACTACCGGTTCTCCAGAACTGGTCAGAACCTGCTGAATACCACCTCTGACTACATCATCCCATTCATCAAAAGAGATCTTAGATGTGTTGACTACATCATCCCATTCACCAAATTATTTCTTCATGGTGCAGAATTGAGGATGAATCACATGGTGTTCTTCTTTCCATTACTATTTTGCTGCTACAAGTACTTATTCCCTTTTTATGACACTGTAATCTATAGGTGTCAAATTCGCTGCATCACGTTAATATCACATGATGTTTTTTGCCTTCACGCAGCTGGGGTGGACATGACTTGTGTGAGAGAGATGCATCTGCCCCATGGGCCCCCAGTTTGACACCTCTGCTGTAATCCCTTAATTCGGGGCATGGAGCTGACACCATGTGGAGTTCACAGCAGATTTTTTTTCTTTGTGCCCCAGGAGAAAAACATCTGCTGCTACCTAGGATTGAACTCTCAACCTTCTGAATGGGAGGCAAGCATCTTCACACTAGGCCACCACGCCACTCAACTGTTGTAGATACACAAATAGATTAAATTGGAATAAACAAAGGATATCTACTTTGGAACTGACCATGATAATTATTCCTAACATTTTTCCAGTGGCTTTGGAAAGTTCTGCCCCTTTCAGTTGTTATAGAAATGGATGATATAAATTCTTGCTTGCTCATCTCTCTCTTCCCTTGCTTTTTCCAGCCTTTTATTTTTTATTTTTTGCCAGTTAACTGTTTTGATGGTTGCTGATATTTAGTAGATAAACCTCAAGCTATATTTTTCTGATAGCTGAAATGATTGGCATGTGCATGTGCTCTGAACTGGAATGGGGACTGACAGGTTGTGTGCTTGGGTACTACAGAAAACTGGAAATTTCCCACAGGAATTTTCCTACAAGATTCAAAGAGAACGTCATGTGCCACATCACTCGCCATGATTGCTAAGGAGTACAAAACCTCAGGGCTCTGCCAAGATCTGTTTATTTTACCCTTCTCATTTTGTTTAAAGCAAGAGAAAAACCTTCCCTTTTTAAAGGGGGACAAATGCTTAAGGAATGGAATGCTTAAGGAAAAGAACTACTGATTTTGTACTTCCAGGTAGTCCTCATTGACCAGCTTGAGCCAACATTCAAAGATAGGATGGTGCAAAACAACCCGATTTTGTGACTATTCTTCGCATTTATGACAGTCATAGCCTCCCATGGTAACCTGCTTACCATTTGCACTTTTCACAGCCAGCATCCAATGAGCAGAGTTAATGGAGACCATGGAAATGAAATCGCAAGTTAATCCATCATTTGACGATTGAAATGGAAGTGACCCCATAAGCCCATCACATGATTTTTCTGCTTCATGACCATTGTACTTAGCAACAAAATTACAGTGAGAACAATTAATCAGTGCAATGGATTGCATCCAAGAGTTGTGGGTGCTGCATCACTGGAGGTTTTTAAGGAGAGTTTGGACAGCCATTTATCCAGAATGGTATAGGACAGGGATGTCAAACTCGATTTCATTGAGGGTTGCATCAGGGTGGCATTTGACCTTGGAGGGCCAGGAGGGGCATGGCCAGGGTGGAGTAGCCAGCTCAATGTTACTCATCAAGGCTCTATTTTCGGCCACGTCAGCCTTCCCAATCTGGATGGCCAATCTGGATTTATCTTTCTCTGAGGCTTTCATCTGCAGCCTCCCTGGATTCTCATCTTTCATTTTAATGTCAAGGGCGCTGAAGGTGAGAAAATTTCACCCATGGGGCTTTTTACAGTAGGAAGTAAGGAATCCAGGAAGGCCAGGAAGAGAAAGAAGGGCAAATATCCAGCAGAAAATATTAGAGCTCTGTTTGCAATATGGATGTTAGGTCTGCCTTCCAAAAGCACACAAACTCTAGATGGTAGCAATGAATTTCTGTATCTCTTCACTGCCATCTCTTGGTCATCAAGATAGGCCAAGATACGGCAAACCTAGTTTGGAATTCAAACATACCTTGAATCCATGGATTTTTGTATTTCTGAAACTATGAATTACTTGGAAATAGCATTTTATGTTATGTTTGAAATTTCTCTCCTGTGTTGGTATTTCTGCATATCATTGCTACCCATGGCAACCACTCATGAACTGTCATTCTGGCCAAGTGGTTAAGATACATTGGCAAAATCACCATCAGTGAAGGCAGCTTTATTTTGAACAGCTTACATCTTGTGGCGGTACCTATAAAACCCTCAAATGTCCAACCTATCCCAGGTCCTTCAGAAGGACTGTATAGGTGGACAAAAGTGCCAAATCCAGTCTGAACATCTGGCTGATTGTGTGACCAACTATAATACTGATTTGCCTCTGCTGCATTTCAATTACAAGTTCCCCCGTCTCTCTTTCTCTTTGTCTCTGTCTCTTTCTGTCTCTGTGTATGTCTCTCTGTGTCTCTCTGTCTCTGTCTCTGTCTCTGTCTCTCTGTCTCTCTGTCTCTCTCTCACACTCATACACACACAGAGAGAGACAGACAGACAGAGACATACAGACCCTTCCTTACATCCTCTTTCAAGAGTCACCTGAACACAAGGTGTTGATTTGCACATGTTCTCCAACAAACAACTCTTGCCGGGCATGCTGTATCTCTCAAAGAAAATTAAGTCATATATAAAATTAAGTTAAATATACATCTCTAAATGAAAAGTTAAAGCTGTCACATTGGTCACAAATGCATGCTAAACTAAACAATCATTTATTACATTGGCTCATTACTGCTGAGTGGAACAGCGAATAGTTCCAAATGGATAATTAATATCACTTTTAGAAGGCTATTCATATATATTTCAAACATAGACTCACTTTTTAGAGTTACTGGTTTACAGCAGAGCGCAAAAGCTGGGGGTGTTATATCTGGTGTATTTCCAATGACAAAGTCTATTTATTTGCACTGCTTTTTTTGAATGTGTCCATATTATTCCAACCTCCAGTGTGTTTTTAGCTCCCCAGCCTCTGAATAAGGCTAAATATATTAAACTTATAATGTAATTATAATATAAAATATTATACTCAAGTCTCTATATTTAGAAGACAATCCATCAGTTTGCTGATACATATTAATGATTTTAGTTTCTTCTGTTCAATTATTTCTAATTCTCAGACACTACCTCAGATAAGTCCCTTGGCAAGATATTAGTAGTAGTTTGCCATTGCGTACTTCCTAGAGCTAAGAGAAACTGGCTGGTCCAAAGTCACCCAGCTGTTTTTGTGCCTGGGATAGAACTAGAACTCACAGCCTCCTGGTTTCTAGCCTTGTGCCTTAACCACTACACCAAACTGGCTCTCATGCTGGTGATATGAAATGTTTTTAACAATTGTAAATCCTTCGGTCACTAGGCTTGATGGGCATGGCAGGGGAAGGTTATGGCAAAATCCCCATTCCCTTCCCACCCCACTAACCTGTTTTCCAGCTCCGTTCTCCTGTGCAGGGCAACAAAAGAAGACCCAGCCGATCAGCTGGGACTCGGGAGGCAGAGAATAGATGGGGGCAGGGCCAGTCAGAGGTGGTATTTGCCGGTTCTCCAAACTACTCAAAATTTCCACTACTGGTTCTCCAGAACTGGTCAGAATATCACCTAGGTTTAGACTAGATTTGGCATTTTGGTCCACCTCTCGAGTCCTTCCCAAAACCTTGGAATAGCAGATGTTGTTGGTGTTTAAGAGTATTAAAGATATTGCTAAAGGATGTAAGTCAGTGGTCCCCAACCTTTCCAGCTTTGTGGATTGGTGTGTGTGTGGGGGGAGGAAATGGTTCCAGGTGAAGCAGCAGATGCAAGTGCAGTTCCATTTGCACAGCCCAGTTCTGAATGGTCCATGACCCAGTATTGGGGCACAGCCTAGGGGTTGGGGACCCCTGTTGTAAAAGCTGTTCCAAGTAAAGCTGTCTTTTGCAATTGACTGGTGGGGATTTTGTGAATGCCAATAGATGCTTCTGTTAAGTACCTATGACCTATAAAGTCTTACAAAGCATAAGGTAAAGATAAAGATTCCCCTCGCACATACATGCCAGTCATTTCCAGCTCTAGGAGGCAGTGCTCATCTCCATTTCAAAGCCAAAGAGCCAGCGCTGCCCGAAGACATTTCTGTGGTCATGTGACCGGCATGACTAAATGCCGAAGGTGCACAGAATGCTATTACATTCCAACCAAACTCGTCCCTATTTTTCTACTTGCATTTTCACATGCTTTCGAACTGTTAGATTGGCAGAAGCTGGGACAAGTAACGGGGGCTCACTCTGCTCCACGGTGCTAGGGATTCAAACCACCGAACTGCTGACCTTTCTTTCGACAAGCTCAGCGTCTTAGCCACTGAGTCACCACATCCCTTAATATACATAGCATAGGGCCCAATTATTTGAAGAACTATCCATGTCTGTTTGATACTAGATGACTGGGTGGCACACTCTTTAATTAAACAATGTCATCTTTGGAGATCCAGGAACTGTGCATTCTCTGTCACACCTGCCTTGTCAAATGAAATTTCCCCTGGGAATCAAGTATCTCCCAACCTGGTAGGATTCAAAAGATACCTTAAAACCCAGGCTGTTTCCCCAGGTTATAGGATAGAATACCTGGAATCCCTTCTGATACGTGTCTGCATGTTTTCTGAGCTGCCATTCTGTTCTCTGTGTTTTATTTACTTCATTTGTGTATAATGTGTTTTATTCTGTATATTGTGTTGTGAACTGATTATGTTCTGATAATTAAATTATTACTGTAAAGTCTGGCTTGGTCCTGCCTGATTAAAAGTATCTGAAAGTTCTTAATTAATGTAATAATTAAGAGGACCTTTTAATAAAAGTATCTCTGATCCTCTAGTCCCATTTTGAAACATTACTGAAAATCAGATATTACAAATTATTGATTCGGTAATGTTTTATGAAGTATTTAATATAAGTTCATACTAAAAAACAGTTTATACTAAAAACAGAATCTACAGTATAATGATTCCTGGGTTACATCATGTATGAATTATATGAGTGCTTCTACACAAATCCCTATCTAATGTTAACTAATATAATTTTACAACTTTATACTACATACTGTAAGTTAAGGGACAGCAGTTAACTCCGTTATTTTATAGCACAGACAGCGCTCCAAAGTTTTAACAATTAAAAACACTTGACTAAGTGTCCATTGTTATTGCTCAAGGCATGGACTTCGGCTACCAACACATCAATAATCCAGGAAGCAAAATGGGAGGGAAAGTGGACTTAAAATCAAAACACCAAGATATATTGCTCCAAACAGGAAATTATTAATTTTAGTTACATAAGGTTTGTCCTATTATGAAGCAAAGAAATGAGATTGCTTTGGACAGAAGATGCTTGTCAGTGCAGAATAAAATCAGTGACAACAGCTCCGGGCTATGTCCTTTAATTGAAAGACTGAGATACGTATTCTATCCATCCTTGTCACTACCCTTAGGCTAATCTGCTTCTCCTTAGTACAATGGATCATCATCAAGAGTGAAGGAAAACTGAACTGTCAATTTAGATACCTTCAACAGACAGAAGGGGATGAGAGTCCCACTTTGGCTTTCACCTTAGTTAGCAAAATGAGTCATTAACACAATGCTACTATGTTCCTTTCGTGATCTGCTGTTTGAACCTGGGGTTAAATCTGGAAAAGGTGGGAAGGGGGAAATCAAACTTGATTAAGAAATAGTAGGATGGTAAATCTGCCCCCCCATTAATGAATTGTCCACACCATCCACCTAAATGTATTATTTAAAAATGGCAGGAAATTTTACCTACCTTGCTATTCTCTGCATTCCCCATCTGGCATAATTTCTTCAAATATATTTAGCTTTGACTCATTCCATAGTATATAGAATTTGGTATGCAATTTTTCTCAACGTAGGCTTTCTAAAATGCAGTTACGCTTAATATATACTTTTTAAAAAATGAAGGTGTGTTTATAATACCAAACATTTTACAATTTCACTCTAAATGAGCCTTTCTTTTTGAAGATTTTTCAAGGGAACAGCAGTCATATTCACATATGGTCACATGCGTTGTGCTAGATTACAGGGGTATTTAACTGTTGGCCTGTGGGTCAGATGTGTCACACACAGGCCATGCCCATCCCACCTCTGCAATGGGAAAAAAGTCACAATACGTCATGTGACGGCAGCGTGACACGGTGAGTTTGAGCTAGAAGAATGGTAGATTCTTTTTGAAAATCGTGTTCTCATTTATGGTGATTTAGAACATAGAATGACAGAATGGGAAATGGCCTTGGACGTTTTCTCGTCCAATCTCCTGCTCAAGCAAGAGATCTATACCATTCTGGAAAAATGGCTGTCCAGTCTCTTCCTTAGGGGAGCAAGGTTTTCCCCTGGCAGCTCTTCATGTCTCAAGGTTGAGACATGAAGCCTTGCAACTCAGTGGTTGCACTATGTTTAAATCCCTATCAGTTTTGAGACTAAAAAAACCACCGGTTTATTAGAGGTACCATTTTGCTTCTAACTAAAAGAATCAGATTTAAGTTATTCAGTTTGGTTTGTACTCATGCTTTCCATAACTATTTCCTGATACATGTGCATTTCATTTTCATCTTTGGTATATTTGATGCTCCTTTTTCTTACTTTTAATTCTTCTTCAG